TAAAAGAATTTTAAGGTATCTTAAGGGAACTGTTGATACAAAATTATGTTTTTCGTTAAACTCTGATGTCAAGCTTGTTGGATATGCGGACGCAGATTTTGGTGGAGATCAAACCGACAGAAAATCGACAAGTGGGTACTTATTTCAGGTTTTTGGTTGTACAGTAGTTTGGTCAACTCAAAAACAAAGTACAGTTGCAACCTCTTCCACAGAAGCAGAATATGTCTCTCTTGCAGAGGCTGCTAAAGAAGGCATTTGGTTGTCAAATATACTTTGTGACTTTGGTTTTGAGAAAACCAGTTTTGTCATATTTGAGGACAACCAATCCTGTATCAAGTTGACAAGGAGGTTTGATCACAGAAAATTAAAGCACATTGATATCAAATACAATTTCATTAAAGATTTGGTCAATAGTAGTACTGTAGTTGTAGAGTACAAACCAACTGGTGAACAAATCGCCGACATTCTAACCAAGAATTTAACTGGTGATTTGTTTGCTAAACATAAAATAGGATTAGGATTGATATCTGTATTGTAAAAACTTATAAAATATATATCTTTTGATTGAGAAGGGGTGTTGGATTTGCAATCAAAAGACATGTTCTATAGAGTCTAGAGTACTCCAAGTTAAGTTCGGTCCTGTCCTTGTCTAAGGTGTTAATAATATAATGTGTGGTTATGTTGTAAGGTTAGCCAATGTTTTGTTTTTTCTGTTGTTTAAGTAAGTCCACGTTTTGGCTGTAAAGTGGCTGTAATTATTTAACCAATTTAATGTCAAGCTGAGTTTAGTTTTCTCATATTAATCAATAAAACGTTGTTCAAAGTGTAGTAGTGTTTTTATTGATATTCACAAACTTATATTTGGTGCTTCCACTTTCAAAGAATCCATCAAAAATTTTATTCCTAGACAGCCTGGTCCATTTTGACTTCATTTTAGTCTTTTATAGGCTGGGACTAATAGGCATTTATTACGAGTGTCATGGTCATGGGTTTCAACATGGGTTGCAGTGGCGGATTTAGAGGGGGGGCGCGGGGGGCGCGCGCCCCCCCCTATTGAGCGACGCAACAACGAAATTTTTAACGAAAACACAAACATATTCATCAAGCATTATCCAACATGAAATGCCATATGGTTTTTGCTATTTTTCCAAATTTTTAATACTTTTAAATACGTTTGGCAGCAGCGAGTTGGGAGCGAATCGACTGCGGATGACGTAAATCCGCACCAACTTTGAATTTAATCTATAATTGAAAATTCCAATTAAATTTAATCTCTGATTAAATTAAATGTTGATGTCAAATGATAGTTTATGAAAATCTAAGATAGGAATGTGAAATCGGTTTTCCTCTGAAATTAACCGTTCAGGTTTTACAGCCTGTCAAAGTTGCAAAAAGTCAATGTTCAACTGTCAATATTTCCAAAACAGTTGAACTTAGGTATAGGGTATATCACATGAAATCTGCTCAGAATTTACGTAGAATCCAAATATGCAATCACATACAGGGTGTTTTATTTGAAAACAAGAAAGTTGGTCTAGATAGCAAACAAACCAGAAGTGACACAGGCAATACGTTTAAGTAGAATTGTGGGAAATATTAGGGACATAAAGCTACTTGAAATAATTCATCGGTATCGGTATCCGTAACGCAACTAGATACGTTGACAAGCGAAAAGGCTGTTAAAGCGCTCCCTGTTCCGGTAAACGTAAACGCATTTCATAACCTAGACATTTTTGTCTCAAAACTTCGGCGTTTTTATATCTAACTTTAAAATTGTTATTTTTTTTGCGATAGAGAAGCACTAAACACACAAGAAAAGAAACTCAAGAAAGTATAAACTAAACAAATTATTAAATCAACCCGGAAGAAAAGGGAGGTTATATTCATTTGAAATTTGACACATGCGTCAGGAATGTCAAGATACGTTACCGATACGGATACCGCGAGAGGGCCGTAACGTTACGTTGTACGTACGGTATCTCGGCCTCCGTATCGCTTCTGCACATGCGCAGTACGATACCGATACGGATACCGAGCAAAAAATACGGAAGCTTTATGTCCCTAATTTACTGAGCAACTTTCATTAAGGTCACTTTTTCGTATACGAAGTAATTAGAAAGTTACAGGTATTATACGCGACTTTTTTGCCACTCTGTATATTTAAGTCGTTTTTTTATTATTTCTTATCTGAGCCTGAGGCCCTGATGGATCGCCCCCCCCTAGAAGGAATCCTAAATCCGCCGCTGATGGGTTGTATAGTTTGAAACATTGTTTTTAAGGTGTATCAGATTTTCTAGGATATATAATGAGGGAATTGTCAAGATGTTGCTCTCTCTGAATGCCTGCCTACAGTCATCTCTATAGCCCAACCCTGCAACAATCCTCATTGCTTTTCTCTGTAGCCGAAACACTTGCAGAGCACTACTAGAGTGTCCCCAAATGAGTATGGCATAGGATATGGTTGAATGAAAAATTGAGAAGTACGCAAGTCTTAACACATCCTTCAAGCAGGGATGGAGCCATGGGGGGGGGGTGAGGTGGGGGGGGGGGGGCCAAAGTTCCTAAAATATATCGAAAGTTGGGGAAACTAGGATAAAAAATTTAGAGTTGGGAAAAATTGGTAGACAAAAATTTGCGCACCTTATTCGCGAGGACTAATTAAAATTAACATAAGGATTGTGTCACGTGTCGTAATGAATTGCAAAATCACTGGACAACAGAATGACGAAATCCCAATGGTCGGAGAGAATTTCTTGCGTTGCACTTTGCACTGCACTAACGCCACTAGCCTGTGGCAGTGGCACGTGACACTTGTGGCAGAAGTAGCATTAGCACCACTAGCGCTATATAGTATATTAGTTAATCCAAACTTCTTATATTATGTTGCCTTCTGCGTTCTGCGCATTCTTCGCTCGCTATTCAGATTTCAGCATGACTCTGAATCCTGGTGCTCTTGAGTTAAAGAAATAGTTTTTTAAAAAGTTTCACTTCTTAACACGTGTATGATGCTACACATGATTTTTCTGAAGTGAAACTTCTTACGCGGCGGTCTGATTTGGACGAGAATGGAATAACACGTTTTGGCAAATTTCGGCACACGAGAGACGATAGAGAAGAAAGATATAACGTAGAGAGGCGGAGAAAGACAGCGAATGATAATGACAGCCGACGAACGATTGACACAAACCAAGTGAGAGAGCGTGACTCACGGCGAGTTTTTGTGAACCCAAGTAAGAATAGGTAATGCGCGTATTAATTCGCAGCGTGACGTGATGCAGTTTTGGTCCTGCGAAACGCAGTGTATTTGCCGCAGTGGCAGTTTTTCTCGTAGAGTCACAGTGCGTGTTCTGAATGTTTCGAAAATTAATTGAGGCCGTGCGGATTCGACAAGTTTTGCGAACAAAACTAAAAACTGAAAAGCAGCAGTTGCCATTTTATCTGCACTATGGGTCTGCCTGCAAAGTGAAAACTGTCATTGTATTTGCGCGGTTACTCTTGTCAGGCGCCGATACCCTTGTGACGTCAATACAGATGCGCGTTTATCTTTTATGTAGCCTTTTTATACTCCGACTCATTCGCTACATGTGATTTTTTTAATGTTTTAATAAAGTTGGGAAAATTAGGAATGTCACCCCCCCCAAACCAGAGGCCTTCGCTACGTCCCTGCCTTCAAGACACCAGTTTGCAAGGTTTCTCAATATAAATAAATTTGTGTTTAGTCTTTTTGATAGACATTCAACATGTTTCGTCGCTTGATTATCCTCGCAAAAAACCGCCTTAATGAATCAAAATTGGCAATATCTCTCCCCTAACTCCCCCACCATCAAATTCTGGGATACTCGAGGATCAAGAACACTTGATTTCTTCTGTGAGAACAGACTGAAAATCACCTTTCCTACATTTAGAATTGAAGGAAAAATTAACTCACTAGCACAGCCTGAATCGCAAGCATTCCATCGAGGTCTGCGGGTGACGTCATCACTATTGGCTGCTGATAGTAACGTGACTCGCAGGACTTCGCCAAAAATTGCCTAAGCTGCTTTCCAGTATATACAGTGGCGCGCTCTAGAGTACCCCGAGAGCGCCACGCACTAGATTTGTACCGTTCCAGTATCATATATGACGTGTGACGTTTGTACGTACGTTTGTACCATCGTCACCAAAAGTAACTGGGACAGCGTCACATTAGCTCTTGTCCTATTATATGAATTTTATTGTCAAATATTTGTCAAACTATGAATTGACCTTTTGTTTGGACGCCATATTGCGGTGCGCGAACATAGCTGCCAACAGTAGAAAAAAAAGTTACTAGCGTTCTGTAAACTTGAAAATCCAAAGTTAGTGAATAAATTACATTTAAAATTCAAATTTGCCGCCTATTACGAATATTTTTAGAAAGAAAAGCCATCAATTTTAGCTTGTTTTGGGCAGAATAGAAATAATAAAATATCTAGTTGACAGTCCGCTAGTAGTTTTTGGTTTTCTTGTTTTGGCAACTATGTTCGCGCACCGCAATATGGCGTCCAAACAAAAGGTCAATTAAATGCATTGAAATAAATGACAGTAGAATTAGTCCAGGAGATTAATATGCATTATTTGTGTCCCGGATACTTTTGGTGACGATGGTACGTATAGCTCGGGAGCTCAACGCTCCGAGTAGTTCCGAGCGTCACACTACCATACCGGAAAGCGGCTCTATGTTGATATCTGAATTGTATGTTTTGGAGTGACTTTGAGGAGCTCTAGAGCGACACGTTCGGTAGAACTCGATGTATAGGAATACAGTAATAGCCAATTGATTTAACAGCCTTCACCAATATTGGCTGCTGATGTAACGTCACTTGCAGACCCTGCCGACTCGAGAATTAGCGAACGTACGCCTTATAGTATGAGCAATCTATTCCTAAAGAACACGGAGTAAACAAATCACTGTTGCCAATAGAAGAATAATTAAAAACTTGACAGTGACAGTTGACACCTATTTAACCTTACATTTTTTCCACGTGCTTTGGCGTCCCTTCTTTTTCATGTGAAGGCTTCTCTCGTAAGCACCTATCGCAAGATTTTTCTGGTTCAGCGCTGGTAAAATTTGGAAATTTTCAACTAACTCGACCAGAATATAAACATGGCAAGTCCTTTTTAACTTTTCATAGAAGTTTTCCAAATATTAACGAAATGGTGGTGTTTTTAGGCGACCAAAGAAGTCAACCCCGAAAAGCCCGGACAAGAAACCGCCCCAATTCACAGAATCAGGATCACTTTGACTTCCCGCAATGTGAAATCGTTGGAAAAGGTCTGCACCGACCTCATCGATGCCGCCAAAAAGCAAAAGTTGAGGGTTAAAGGGCCAGTCCGTATGCCAACCAAAATTTTGAAGATTACGACCAGGAAAACTCCTTGTGGTGAAGGTTCCAAAACTTGGGACAGGTAAATCTTTATTAAAAAAATTATATTTTATCAAATGATAATATTTATTGCTTTTAGATTTCAAATGAGAATCCACAAGAGAGTCATAGACTTACATTCCCCATCTGAAATCGTCAAGCAGATCACTTCCATCAACATCGAACCGGGTGTAGAGGTTGAGGTCACAATCGCCGATGCTTAATTTTAAGCATTTAATTTGATTTTTGGTTACAAATAAAGTTTTGTATCTAAAATGTATTTGTTTTATTTTTATTGAGATTAGAATATCCCCATTCATTATTTAAGAATCTTAAAAAATTGAAAATTCAACCTTCATTTAAAGGAGTTTTCCTGATGATATCTATCAAGGATGTTCATTGCAGTATTTTCTTAATCTCAAGAAAAATTGAATGTTTTGTCTGTATACCAAAATGGCAGCAAATAAAATCTTATACCAAATCTTATTATTCCATGGCTTTTGATTTTTCTTTGCTTTCGTTCTCAAGAAATAAAATTACCTAGAAAATAGATATTTATGCAACAAGTGCGTAAAGTGAAACCAACAGGGCAGGGGCTTAGACACGTTACGTACATTTTTTTTTACTACAGACGACAGGTCAGTTTCTGCCATTGGTTTCGGCAGAAATCACAAACCAGTCGAAGCGAATTTCATTGGTTGAAAACAGTAAGAAAACTACGAAACCTCGCCCCTCTCTCTAGCGAGCTGAGCCGATCAGTGGCCGAGCCGCAGGCCTATTCTCTACGAACAGCAAGAAAACAGAAAAAAAAAACCTCGGAATTAAAACCCAGAATCTATTTCCATGACGTTGGTTGCAGCCTGCATTTTGACCGTGTTGCCACGAATTATCAACATTGAAAATTTGTAATAGATATGCCTCATTGCTCCGACAACTTGATGTTTTATGCATGTATTAAACGTCAAATTGTTGAAGCAATGTCAAAAAAGAGCGAATTTCGCGCAAGTGAGAATTAGGGCGAATTCTCATGAGCGTAGGTTGACATTTCTAGCGTAATCGCGTGATAAAATGGCTGGATTTTATTGGTAAAATATTCGCCATGTTGGAGATTTTACCAATCAAATTACACCATATTATCACGTGATTACGCCAGAACTGTCAACTTACGCTCAAGAGAACTCGCCCTTAAGCTATGGCTATGGTCCAAATATAACCAAGCGTTAACCGAACTAACTGAATCGGTTGCAGGTGGTTACTGAAAATTCCGGTTACTTGGGGAACGCGAATGAGAAATAAAAAATAATTGACAGAAATTACAGATAAAACCATAAGTTCTTTTCACGTGGCTCCGGTTTAAACTAATCAGGTTACAAAATGGTTAGAGAAATGACATACCGTTATCTAACCCAGTTACAAAGTGACGTGATGGATATACCTACCACTCGAATTTGAGCGGTATGTTAAACCGGAGCCACGGGAAAAGGGTTATAGACTTTATAAAACAAACCGACATCCAATGGCCAATAATTGAGAACTATATTGACATTTGGTTAACCATTTCAAGAAATCGAGGTCTAAAAGTAACTACTTTTCTATAGCACATTTTTATTTTATTTTTTAAAAAAGTTTGTCATAGACATACATAAAATACCATTCTGAGTTTTCTCTGTTGTGTAATAAACAATAAATAAATAAATAAATAAATAAATAAATAATAGTTCAGAAAATGTCATTTGGGTTTGATTATTTGTAGAAAAACTAAAAAAAAAATATTCTTGTATAGATACTTTATTGTTCTATAAAAAGAAATCACCATTGCTATTATTATGGAAATATAAAAGTATTGAGTTAAAAATCCAATTAAACTTATAATGTATTCAATAAAACTGTTTTTTTTTTAATTGCCTAGTGATTAAGATTCTTTTTTTGTCTTTCAAAGATTGTTTTAGTCGTCTTCGTCGGTGTTGCCTCCGTCACCACCATTTTCCCCATTTTCTTCGCCTTCACTGTAAACTTGACCTTCATCGTCTTCCTCGTCATCATCGTCGCCAGCAACTTCAGTATTCTCCATCTCAGCTCTCTCCATTTGTTTAGCCAAGTCAGCTTCATCTGTAGCTGTCACAACTTTAGGTGCCATTTGGATATCAAACACACCGCCCAATTCGCCGATTGTTTTCCTAATTACTTCAATCGCTTCGTTTAATACTCGTAGACCGTCAGTTTTTTCTGGAGTCGAAGTGGTCATTACGTACAAGGGCGGAGCTATAAGATTAATCTTAATGGGCAATTCTTCAGTAGATAAATCTAAGCCGGATTTGAGGGCGGCCTTAACAGCATCAATGCCTTCGTAGCCGTAGCATGCACATTCAATGTCAGCACGGATTTTGACAGCTTGAGAAGTGAGTTTACGTTTAATATTACTCAAAAGGACTTCTTTTGTTTTCTCGTCCAAGCCACATTCAGCCAATATGCTTGGGTCACTAAAAAAATTGAAAGTTAAATAAAAAAAATTGCAAATTATTCAACCACTTACGCTACAGCTTGTTTAAAAAAATCATAAGCCGACGCCTTATTCTTCTTGTATTTCTCCTCAAAGTGCCAGGCGGTTTTTTGATAAAGTTCTTCTAGTTGTTCGTCAGTTTCGTACTTTAACAATTCCGCCACGTGTCTCAAGATCGAGTTGACAGCTTTGGCTTTGGCGAACCTTTCTGTGCATTTTTCTACGTCTTCACCGCTGACTCTTCTTTTGGATAAATCTTTAATGGAAAGGATTTAGGTAAATATCAACGCTAAGAGGAATCTTACAAAGCTAATTTCATGAAATTAATTATTATGGAGACTAAAATTTTCCCAAATGGAACAAAAACTAAAAAACTGTGCTTTTTCTCTATCCAGACGAGTGAATGCAATACCGGGATACCGGGATCCCGAAATACCGGTTTCCCGCACGCCATATGCAGGACTGATCTCGCTCATAAACTGAGCGGGATCCCGACGGGATTTGCGGGATTGAAAAACTGTACTTTATGGTGTCACTCGGGCCTGGTACGCGCGAACTGGACGACGAATCGTGGTGAGGAGACTGAGAGAAACTTTCTCGCACTAATTCGAAGTTGTTTACTATTTTTTAATGTTGGCAGTTTTGTTCCAACTTTTAATAAGGACGTATAGTGGTGGCAGTGCAACAAATTATTAATTGTGGTTTTGTGGTTAAGTAGACAAAATTTACTCTTTTAAGTAGGTATTCAAGTTTAAATAATTATCATTATGTCAGAAACTGTAGCTCTGTTCCAACCGAAATGAGAACCGTTCTAGAACGGTAATTTCCAGTTGATCAAATTCATTTGTCAAGTAGGATGAACTCATTGAAAAATAGGTAGGCAACTGGAAATTACTGGTTCTGGAATGGTTCTCATGTCGGTTCGAACAGAGCTATAGTTTCCGACATAATGATAACTTGAAAAGGTGAATTCCGTTAGTCTTCAGAATGCAAGTTGTGTAAATGAATAATTAAAACGACTAGACGTTTGCGCAGTTATTTCCAAAATAAATATCTTTTGACTTGTTATGTTAATCTTCTAATAATAATGTTTACATATCGTTGAAAAACATTATTAAATAATTTGATACTTGATATATGTTCAATTTTAGTCAAAACCCTTTCAATCTGGTACCTACTATATTATGATTTAATTGCAGTCACACAAGATTCAGCGGGATCCCGCAAATACCTGGATCCCGCAGGATTGGAAATGTCCAGTCCCGCAAATACCGGGACTGGAATTATCTTGCGGGATTGCATTCCCTAATCCAGACCTCTATGGCTACTTTTCAACCAACTCAATATCAAATGGAACATTTTTCTCATGTTAAACCCATTTATAAAAATATCGGTAGTAGGAATGAAATCAAAAATTATAGACCTATTTCTAATATATCTCTTATTCCCAAAATAATGGAGAGTACTATCATGTCATTGGTACTATCACAAAATTCTTGGAATTGAATTTCACTCATTCAGTAATTCCCAACCAACATGAATTTTTGAAACATAAATCAATTCGAACTAATTGTCTTACTTATACTGATTTTATCTATAATAACTTGGAAAAATGATTTGAGGTAGACTCTATATACACGGATTTCTCAAAGGGATTCGAAAGAATCAATCATTCGCCCTTATTAAAGAAACTAGGGTGACATCTGAAGTTCCTCAGGGCAGACACCTCTCACCTTTTTTTTATTTAACATTTTTATAAATGATGTCAAGTCCTGCTTGTTCTCCGAATTTGCACTTTATGCTGATGATTTAAAAGTTTATAAGGCTATCCGATACTATCACCACTGAGCATTGTGCTAACAATCTTCAGATTGACTTAAACAGTTTTCATAGTTGATGCGTTTCAAATAAAATATTTTCTAATATTGAAAAGTGCAAATTTATCAAGTTTTTAAAATCCTTAACGAAAAAAAATAACTCTTATAATATAAACACTAACAGGTTAGAGCAAGTAGATATTATTAGGTAATTGGGTGTATTAGTTGACTCCAAACTAAGTTTTCCATATCATATCGATGATTGTAGGAATAAAGCACTAAGGACATTAGGTTTCATAAAAAGAAATACCAAAGATTTTGATGATGTATTTGTAATAAAATTGTTATACACCTTCCTTGTCAGACCTCACCTGGAAAATTGTTCTGTAATCTGGAATCTTCACTACTCAACTTACATTGATAAATTGGATACTGTACAAAGAAAGTTTTTAAGATATATTGCCTACAGTTCAACTTAAATGTCGAAAATGTTAACTATTGCGATCTTAAACAAACTCTATTCATTGAAAGTCTTGAAAGATGTAGAGATAATATCGACATTATTAATTGTTTTAAATTGGTTAAAATGCACTAAATTATCCTGAAATGGTTTCTAAACTCCAATTTTATATTCCACAAAGAATTCTTAGAAATTCTAGAATTTTTGAGACAGATTTCCATCGCACCCTGTACGGTCATTATTCTCCCATGTCAAGATTGATGAGGAACACAAATTCATTTCGTAGTGATATTTTTATTGAATCTTTATTTTCTTTGAAAACAAAATTGAAGAGGATGTAACTTTTCTAAATGTGACCATAGACTGTGCTATTTTTTTTTAATACATTTTCATTTTTATATACATTTTTGTTGTTCTAGTTTTGTATTTTATACCAATTTTATCTTAGCTTTTAAGTATTTGAGTTATAGGGTTTTTATTACTTAAAATTCTGTAACTGATTAGGTTATGCCCGTTTGCTTGAAATAAATAAATAAATAAATAAATAAAATAGATGGGAACATAAGCAATCTACCACAAGACCAACAGGTGCATGGTGCATGATTTAGAATTTAGTGAAACATTCTGTGATAACACTATAAGCAACTGAATAAGTAGTTAGTCTTGAGAAAAATTTTGCACGAGGCCATGAATAGGTTGAAGACATTCTCAACATAAAACAAGAACTTTGCCCAATGTTAGACAATCTTGTAAATAATAGTCTGCTCACTGTTTTTTTTCTACAGGATAAGTCCTATATTCAAGTCTGATGAGAAAACGGATGCTAATAATTACAGGCCAAAGTGTTATAAGTATTTTTTCAAAGGTAATAGAATTATTACTCGAAAAAAAAATTCATTTAGGCATTAATAAATATCTTACTGTAGATTAATATCAATATGGGTTTATAAAGGTAAAAAGTAATACTAGTAATAGATTAAGTGCGACTGTAGATATCGTTTACAGCTCTATTTACAGTATAACTAGTAACTACTGGTGTATTTGTAGACCTAAGAGAAGCTTTTGATGTTGTTTCCAATAATATTTTACTTAGAGAACCAAGCCATTCAGGTATACGAGGAATAATGTATGGCCTAATACAGAGCTATCTGAGTGATAAGAGGCGGTATATAGTATATGTCCAAATGGGTGAATCTAGGTGAAATCAGTATAAAATACCACATGGGGTCTCATTGCTTATTGTTAATTAGAAAAACACTGTTGTATTTAATATTCACTTTGACCTCGATTTATTTACTTACATCTTTAATACCTACCAAAAAAAAAAACTATTTTCATTTTAAACTCCAAGCTTATATATTTGATAAATTGAACATGAAATAGGTAAATATCCAAAATCTCAATTGTTAGAAACATGGAACTGTAAATTTTAATATAGTATTTTTGTCTTATTATATTCATGTAGATGATGCAATCTTATTCAATGAAAAAACAGCAATTCAATTAGGCTCTCATCACAAGCACTTGTGTTGTGACTGAGTTGTATGATTGGTTTGATTGACCATAAAATGAAAATTACCAAAATAAGAAATAAAATTATTGAAATATGGATAGTACTTGGATAGTATTATACATAAATACTATAGAGTAGTGAAAGAATCCTACTTATACTCAACCATCCACCTGAAGAAGCTACCTCGGAAGCTACAGAGTTCTGTATTTTTTGTGTTGGAAAGACTACTTGATAAATGGTTTAAATAAATATACCTATGATGTTTAACTTTCAAAAATAGTTTTTTCATTTATTCAATTTGAAATAATCCAATTAATTCAATTATCGAAAAATATAAACAAATATATTTACTCACCAATATATCCTTTTTCTTTATCTACCCTAATAACTACAACGGGTTCGGTCTTCCCCACTCGTATAAGTTTGTTTATGGAACGTATACGTCTCCTGGACAATTCCGAAAGCAATATCATACCCTCTATATTGTTGTATTCTAGTAAATGTACGTAGGCCCCCATTTCGGCGATGGCCCTCACGTTGACCATCACCACATCCTCCACTTCGGGGTACTTTTCTTTATAGAATCGACACGATAAGGGCATTTTTAACTAAAAATATGTTCGTTTGAGGTTAGGTAATACAGCTAATTTATAAGTTCAAAGGATTTATTGGATTATTGGTATCAATAATTGATGAATCGCTTACCGTTTATATATTTCTAGTCCTAGTATTTTTTATATTCAGTTTTGAAAAACAAACCCAAAAATGGGTTCCTAAACCAAAAATGAGGGTTTGGTGACAATCGCGGAATGACAACTACCGGTTTTTTGCAAAAAGAATTGTCAAAACTGTCATAATTCACCAATCAATCCCAGCCAAGGATAATACACTACTACACAGTATTGCTTATCGGTTTCGTTTTTGTCAATCGCGTTCATATTGTGCATTGTGTAGCTTCATTGATGACGTCATCAACTACGTCGTCCGTTGTTTGCGCCATCGGTCGTTGTTTAGTTTAGAATGGTAGCGTTTAGCGTTCACCAGCACTCAACATCTTGAGTGATTAGTAAAGTCTGTTTTTTTTTTTAAGATAATTTCCCAAGTCAAAAATTTAGTAACATTTGGAAACACAAGCCTTCTCTACATTAAAAATTTTAAAGCATTGACAATTTTAACATTAGGCAATTCAAACCACGTGACATTCAAGATGGCGTAGCGGCCACACATGGGCCAAAAAACACAAAAAAATATCTAGTTTCTGCCAGAATTAATAGTTTAGGTACCTATTCAACAAATATTTTATAAAATAATGAAAATCAAAGTTGTAAGCAAAACTGTATGCAAAATAATTTAAAATACGCATGAAAACATATCCAAAACAAACTTGCTTGGCCGCTACGCCACATTGAATTTTCCGTTTTGACAGATGGATTGAATTGCCTAATTGTAGCGTTGATTGATTGTAGAGTAAAAATCAAACGAGAAGAAGCCACACGCGTTATCGTTTGTCTCACTTTAAATAGGATCCGAAAACTGCCTTCTTTGTCAGTCATGACGTCAATGGCTTCTTCTCGTTTGATTTTTACTCTATTGCCAACTAAATGTACAATTTGTTAGGATACCCTGCGTTTTTATTCTCATTAAATTTTACCGATGGATCCACCATTCTATGGCCGTCATTGTCATTTTCCATTCACAAAACAAAGATAGTTTACTCATCGGTGAAGTCACCGATGAGAATAAAAACGAGACTATAGTACGCGACGCACAACTGACAACGTAAACGTCGTCATTGGTTCAGGTATGACGTACACCCGTTTTTTGACGCTGACCCTGACGTCAGGGTTGATCCTAACAAACCGTACCTTTAAATTTCATTTTGACTTTGACCTTTAAAAAAAATATTTAAGCGGCTTTGTTTCAACAAGTGGAATACACCAGAGCGGATTTCGGGTGCTACCTTTGAGCGCTCCCGAGTTACTCCGAAGCACTCCTAGTTTGGAGCTGCTCTCATTTCCTCGCCTCTTACCCCTGAAGCACCAACCATTTCATGATTTATGTCAAGCGCCTGGTAAGACGGTTTCAAGCGTTAGAGTGCAAAAGGCATGGAGTATATCAGCCTATCAGGTGTGAAGTGTTCTACGACCTTCGCACTCTGCACCCGAAAGCGTCTAAGAGCAGCTTTCGGATGTCACCCTTTGAGCGCTCCCGTGCTACTCCGAAGTACGTCGGCTACAGTTTGACACGTTCGGTTTCAAGCGTTCGAGTGCAAAACGCATGGAGTATGACCAATGAACAAATGTGAACATCACCCAAAGGGGCGTTTTGGGGGTTTTGGTACAAAGAATTTTCCGGTAAGTTGGTGAACTTTTTTATTTGATTGGTGGAGATGGAATTTAGAATGTTTACAATCATGTGGGAAACTCTTTTTATCATATGATTATTCCGAAATTTATAAAAATAACAACTTTTGTATAATAATATATAGATATACTGTGCATGTGCGACGTCATAACGTATTATAAGTTATGACGTCATAGGCACATTTCAAAGCGTTGTATCTCCGTCAATTATTGACTAACAAGAAAAAGAAAAAACAGATGTTGACTTATTTTTCATTGACTAACGAAATCAGCAATAAAAAAAACTGATGCAAGGGGCCTAGAGCCACTCACTAATCCTAGCCGCCCGGTATTCTAGACGAGTGTGCTTGGCTCAAGCTTCGATTTTTGACAGTTGAGAGCTGCTTTCAGTGCCTAAATTGTTAGAGTATCATGCTCCTGAGTGTGACGCTCTTGAACTGTTCGACATAAGCAGCACTGGAACGCTCTCGTCTTAACCCCCACCATCTCGGACTTCAGAGGAGCATGGAACACCGAAATAAAGGTTGGAGCACGAGGGGGCAGGGGATGCAGCTCAGGAGTAACTCGAATGGGTCACTGGAAAGCACCTATTCTGAGCATCGTTCCATGCTGTTTGGAAACGCAAATAGTTGTATTCCTTTCAAGAGTTTAAAACACTCGAGCTACTCGCTCATCCGGTGCTAGTTGCCCTCGATTTGAAAATAACAGATGCGTAGTGCAACCGGTGCAACAAACACTTTTCGAAAGGAATAAGCGCGTAAAGCTGGGTACGCATATGAGCATGAACGCGAATGAGGCAATCCGAGGCCGAACCATTTGCCTCGGATTCGGGAAGAAATAAATTTTTGGGTGACCTGAATAGTGAACGCACGAGGCGTTGTACGGAATCGATCCATAAATATGTGGTGAGCATTCTTGTTGTTATTAATTTAAATTTTTAATCGCTTTCATCTCAAAACAACACGTGGACCGCCTCGACCTCGAAATGAATTTTTTAAAATTTGCATCCACACTGAGCAGATGCCTCACTTTGATGTACCGCCAACAGTTGGATCGGGTCGAGGCCAAATGCATGCGGGTTCAAACAAATTTGCACGCCTCGTTCAGACGTACACATACGTATGCTGATGCGTCCTCGGGCTGCCTCATTCGCGTTCATGCTCATATGCGTACCCAGCATAACGCCACCGAGCTGTTCCGGAGCTCCTGTGAAAAGTGTGAAAGGAATACAACTATTATGGCGTCAAGTCATACTTGGCCAAGACGCAACCTTGAGCATCGACTATGAATACGGGCCCTCTCCCGCTCTTTCATTCTGAACAAACTGATTAGAGTCATTTGTCCTCTCTGGGGTCCTTTTCTTGAAACAGGGGAGCAGCGTTCCCGAGAACGAGTGTTCCGTATTTCTCAAGAATATGCAAATGATTTATAAATAACAAAGACGAAACACTCGTTCTCCTGGAACGCTGCTCCCCTCTTTCAAGAATAAGGATCCAAAACTGACTGAACTGTGTTCTTTCGATTTCGGATCACTTTCCCCACCAAATGATCGCGATCAGTTCAATCCTAGCCCCACGTGATCGAAGAAACTTTACGTTCATTTTTTTCACAGATCGTTTGTGAGTCAAAATTAGCTGAGTTAGGGCGGGTATTATAAAACTACTTTGAGAGTTAACTTAAAGTTAACTTCTGAAAATACATGTAATTCAAAAACTTAACTTCAAGTTAACTGTCAAAGCAGTTTTATAATACCCGCCCTTAGCAAAGTTAGCAAAATTTATTTAGCAGCTCTCGAAGCGCAGTACGGCTGGAACACGAACACGCGCTTGAAGCACTTGCGCGCGCAAAAGCTCGATTGCGTGCTCAAAATGGTCAGCTGGAAAGCGGCTATAAACTTTGTTTTGGTTTCACTCAGAACTAGTTCGGAATCAGTCTGCACATGCGCATATTAAAAAAGACGTTTTGGTTTTTTCAGAATCGTAATCGAACTGTGTTGACAGTGTTTTGGTTTATCTAGAACTTTTTAAGAACAATTCTGGGATTGTTCTAGAACGGTTCTCTCAGTTCTTGCTTTAAACGAGGAACTGTTTGAGAATTTTGTGTTTTGGTTTTTTTAGTTCTGAATCGGTTCAGAACTAGTATTTTAACAGTCCTCTATGATTTTTTTGTGCACAAGCAGTTCTGCGCAATACCAGAACCGTTCCAAATTTCGAACCAAAACAAAGCTATACTTATAAATAAAAATAAACCAAAACGCTGTCAACACAGTTCGATCACGGTTCTGAAAAAACGAAAACGCGTTCTATGACATGCGCATATGCAGAATGATTCTGAATTAGTCCTGCTAAGGGAAACCAAAACAAAGCTGTTAACTGCTGGTGAATGCGACCAATGTTGAACCGACAACATCCGTCGCATCGAGCACTTGGATTTAAAAATTCGTTTTTTTTGGGAGATGCTCCGAATGACTCCAAACAAATAAGTCCGGAACTTGTTACTCTTGAAAAAGAACTCGGCGCAGAGAGGTGAGAACCGCACTGTTGCCAGCCAGATAAAAACAAACAAACCATTTTCATCTCTTTTCAGTTTTGGTAAATAAAAAAAGATAGCAATATATTTTAATGAAAAAATCAACACAATTTTGAAGTGAAGTGTGAAGTGAAACGAAAAGGCATTTTTTTTTTTTGAACGGTATCTTTTTTAATTACCTACCGAATGCCGCAGTTTATTCGCCCCCTTGTTCCCATCAAATAACTTAAAAATTCAGGCAAAAATTCATCTAAATACAACTAATTATCATTGAACCAAGCTTCAAAATAAAAATAACCAAAAATTTGCGTGAACGTTCAGTGGACCAAGCATTTCGTGCACGCTCGACAACGGCCGCCATATCGTAGAATTGATTGGTCGTCTACATTTGCCATTGGACGGCCTGCGGGACGGCCATTTATCTAGACGCGGTTATATGACATGTTGGATATGTCGACCGAAGGTGATTCCGTTAAAAGTGCTTTGTCAGAGGTAAGTAGCTTAATTTAATTATATTTTCTCTTAAAATTATTTGAACCTTTTAGTGGGGCATGCATTTTGCTTTTTACCCGGCTAAAATCGGTGGATATTTAGCCGGGAAATAGTCATGTTTGTTTGACTTCACATCAATATGGCGTGTTGATGCTCGAAAAAGCGGGAAAACGGTTTTTCGAGAAAATTACTAAATTTCATCAAAATCTAATGAGTTTTTTGCAAACCTGCACCCCCCGATTACTTAAATCACATATGTTTAAAAGTCGAAATAGTGAATTTCTATTAAATAATCGAGTTTGAAAAAATTGTAAACAGTCCATTTTAAAACCTATCCTAGGCCCCATAGGGAGTTGTTTGAACGCTTGTTTGTATATTGAGCCTTTTGGTTTTAAAGTATTTGTCTATTGAATTGAGTTACAATTCTTAGTTTGCTGTGATTTAATGCTCTTTGCTCGTGGTCCAGCTCAAGGTTAGGCTTGTGAGCAAAAACGCTGATTACTTTATAATGGACAAAGTCAACAAATGCCCACCTATCTCATCATAAAACCAAGCATTAATATAAAGATTATGAAGAAGCTATTTTTGAGAATCATAAATGCTTACAGTGTAGAAAGAATAATTGTTTAAAATGCTAAACTAATTGGTATAAGCAAGCACTAGGTATATAAAATTATATTATTTATATTGAAGTTTTGTAAAAAAAAATAGTATTTAGATGCATTTTAGTTCCTCCATTACAAAAAAAATGTATAAATAATAATAATTATTATCCTTTGACTTTTTTTATTTTAGACTTTGACTCCATTACTAAGTGATTTTGTTGGCTTTGCTAATTAACCAAAGAAAGTTTAAGTTAAATAAATAACTCAAACAATTAGGGAAAGGCAGTGGATAGAGGTCCGAAAATTCGGATCTCTAGTGTTCATACTAAAGTTTCGATAATTCTGGGATTTTCAATTTGTATATTAGGGGTCCGAAAATGCAGATCTTCATTGGTATTATTGAAGATCCGAAAATAGATGTTTATTTCTAATTCTGTCGTAATTAAGGAATATTATACCATTTCAATAAAATTGATAAAATGCTTGTATTTTTAAGGATTTATACTAGAAAAAATGGATCTTCTAATCCTTTTTATGTAGAATAGCTAATCAAGTTTACTCGAAAATATTTGGTTGGTGCAATTTCAAACAGAAAAGTATAAAAAACAAAACTAAGTACCTTTTTATTTTTTTAAAACATTACATAATTAAAAATAAATATTTCTTCATTTTAAGGCTTGATAGGGTAACAGGTGTGAGGTGTGTTTTAGTTCCTTCTGCACTGCATGCAAAACCAGGCTTTCTAAAGGTACGGTTTGTTAGGAGAGTACGCGTCGCACAACTGACAATGTAAACGTTGTCATTGGTTCAGGTATGACCAATGAACTTAGGTATGATGTACCATCGTCACCAAAAGTAACTGGGACAGCATCTCATTAGCTCTTGTCCTATTATATGAATTTTATTGTCAAATATTTGTCAAACTTGCATTAAATGCATTGAAATGAATGACAGTAGAATTAGTCCAGGAGATTATTGTGCATTATTTGTGTCCCAGTTACTTTTGGTGACGATGGTACACCTCTGAGATGTACACCCATTTTCTCACATCAGAAGACGGGTGTACGTCATACCTGAACCAATGACGACCTTTACGTTGTCAGTTGTGCGTCGCGTACTATCCTAACAAACCGTACCTTTACTAGAAGGCAGCTTTGTTACTGAAAAACACACTTTATGTTTACACCGAAGACATGAATCACACCTTAAGCCATCTTCATGTATCACTTTGTTACATATATCACAAATCCATTTTAGAATACTATTTTGTTTTTCTCCAATTCGTTTTTGTAATAAAACATAAGAATCCAGACAAAAATATGCTTCTATTTCTGCTAAAGATATTTCTTTTTCAAGAAGAAGTGGATCAATTTGATGATGATGAGGAATGTTTTATTTCTCATTTGTAAAGTTTTTATGTAATGCTTTTGCTTACCAAATCATCTGTATTTAAAACTGCATTAAGCATTATCTAGTGCCTCAGTTTAGGAACTTCATTTTTGAATAAAACACTTTTATTTTTCTTAGACCTTTTTAGTCCAATTGCAGTTAATTGATGTCCCTTGAGTTTTCCTTTATGGGTTTTAAAGAAAATTTAATACTTTTTATTTTTTCTTCCAATTGGTTTTGTGCAGTAGTATTTGGTTCTTGGGCTAGTTTCATTAAAATGGTGTCACAAATATCTACAAAGGAATAATATTCAAGATAAGTCTGTTTCTGCAGAAATCACAAATTAGTTATTAGAGCAAATTTCATTGGTTGAAGACAGTCAGAAACAGTCAGAAAACTAGTATCAACCAATGAAATTCACTCTGACTGCTTTGTGATTTCTGCAGAAACAGACTTTCTCGAATATTATTCTTTGTAGATACTTGCGATGATACTCCTTAATTAGACAGAATTAGAAATAAACATCTATTTTCGGATCTCCAGTATTACCACTAAAGATCCGCATTTTCGGACCCCTAATATACAAATTGAAAATCCGAAAATTATCGGATCTTTAGTATGAACACTAGAGATCCGAATTTTCGGACCTCTATCCACTGCCTTAGGGAAAATAGGTAATCTAATACAAAATGATTATGAAATTGTAAAAATCACAATGTGAAATACCTAAGGTCCAGTACTTAATTTTAATTAAAAATTATCACAAGATGACACATAATGTGGAATTTTGGAATTTATACAGGGTGTTTCTGAATAGTGGAATCAAACTTCTAGGATAAATAGTCCTCATTAAATTAAAAAAAAAAAAATAATAGAAACATAGGTCCGCAAATGCTGAGTTTTTGAGATACAGGGTGTTAAAGTTTAAAAAAAAAAGTTTTTTTTTTGCTCAAAAATTCGTTTTTTAATTTTCTTGGCAGGTTTGTTATTCTCTTGGATTTGTTATTGTAATAACAAAAGGTATCTTTTTTCTCAATTAAATTTACCATTTTATTCCAGTGGCGCCCAAAATGTAAAATCGGTTTTCCTCTAAAATTAACTGTTCAGGTATTACAGCCTGTCAAAGTTGCAAAGAAGTCAATTTTCAACTGTCAATATTTCCAAAACAGTTGAACTTAGAAATAGGGTATATCACATGAAATCTGTTCAGAATTTTATGTAGAATCCAAATATGCAATCACCTCGGCAATCACTATGCAATCACGGGTGTTTCATAAAAAAAACAACTTTAATTACGTCTCGCCTAATTGAGCCACCCTGTACAGGGTGTCCCAAATTCGAGGGTGACCATTGAGATATCCGAAACTATAAGAGATACGAGGTCGGTTAAATTATGGCAAAATTGCGCAATTTTATGACTAATAAAATGCCGTTCTGAAATTTGAAAAATTCCGAATACTTCCGGAGATATTCGGAGAAAGCCGAAATTTTGCAAAAGCATTTTTATTTTTTCCTGAGTCTATTATTTGAAGAGCAATTTCGAAATAAATATCACTTCATCATTATCACTTTTTCCCCTTTACAAATTGTTGCTCCCAAATTTCTGATTCGACGTTTTGCCTTTGGGCCATCATCATCAACTTCAGTTTTTACATTACATTATTATGATTTTACTCAAATAATGTTAAGTATCTGAATTTGCAAAATGAATTTGACCAAAGATGCTATTTCAGGAATAGTATTTATTTAAATCGCAGGGGCAGGCGGTTATTAGCAAATTTAATATTTAAAAAAATTATAAACTTCTTTGTAGCTGACAGATTTAGAACTTTATTACAGGTCAAGGTTGACGATTGTGGGTTCTTCCCTGAGTATTCAGGGGAGGCGAATCTTCTGGACTCTGATCCTCTTATGTTGGAAGGCCAGGCTTATCTCCCAGGGCACGAATGTGAAACAAATTTTTTAGACAAGCAGCCCTGGCCACTCGTAATGCCCAGGAAGGACTATCCTTTTTAATTTTGAATATTCGCTCAATTCGTGGTAAGGTGGATGAATTTTCTGTATTCTTGGAGTGCTATGATAATCCGGGGTTTTTGTTTGTGACGGAGCACTGGTTGAGGAGGGATGAACCATTGAGGATCCCGAATTATTTAATGTCTTCCTTTTGCAGGGCTGATCGCGTAGGGGGAGGCACAGCAATATTCATCCGTGAGGATTTGTGTGGAATTGTGAACTGTATGCATGTGAGTGAGTTTGATGGATTGTGTGTAGAAGGAGAATTTGAGTTCTCAGTTGTGTACGATAAAGTGAATAATGTTTATTTCCTGTGTATTTACAGACCTCCTAGTAGTTCAATTGGTGAGTTTCTGAGTAGACTGGAGATGTTGCTCTCTCTCTTCCATGGTTCAGACATTTTATTAGCAGGAGATCTTAATATAGATTACTTAGATAATAATTCGATACAGATACAAAATTTAGTCGATTTGCTTCTGTCTTCAAACTTTAAAATGCTGATCAAAAACCCTACCCGTGTTACTGAGGGTTCAAGTACCATAATTGATTATTTTTGCGTAAATTTTTGGGACAAGCACCTCTGTGAGGCAATGGTTGTACCTTCGGGATTATCGGATCATGAAGCAATTTTAGCAAGCATAACTTTAAGGACAAGAAAAACTAAAAGCATTAGAATGGGATGAATTTACAACAGGTCCAATTTTAATAAATTTAGAACGGATTGTCAAAGAATAGATTGGATTAAAATAGAGGCATTGTCAGACCCACTTGATCTTTTTAGCATTGAAATAACTAATCTATTCAACAAACATTTCCCATTAAAAGCAATAAAACAAAAAAGTAAAAAACCTTGGGAATAAAAACCTCGTCTAGGAATTTAAGATTTTTGAACACTCTTAAAAAAACTTCCCTACAGATTTTCTGAAAAATTATTATAATGAATATAGAAGAGTGTACAGGAAAGTGATACAAAGAGCTAAAAAAATGTTTTAC